GTCCCAGAAGACTGCCATGGGGGCATGGAGGCTCAGTGTTGCCTGATCCTCCCATGCTCAAGAGAAACCACAAACTAGATTTTACTTTGACAGAATTACTGTGAGATCTTCTGGTATTTTCAAATTTCTGAGAGTAAATTAAAATAAAATACACACACACACACACACACACACACAAAAAAAAAAAACCACAAAAGCCCTTTGTAGCCTAACACTATGTAAGCTGAACATCACCTTCCTGTGATCCATAGCCTGCTAATGCACAGCCTCTGATATAGATGATAAGTGCTATAAGATTTGAGGTGGGGCCAGGCATGGTGGCTCACACCTGTAATCTCAGCACATTGGGAGGCTGAGGCAGGCAGATCACCTGAGGTCAGGAGTTCGAGACCAGCCTGGCCAACATGATTAAACCTCTTCTCTACTAAAAATACAAAAATTAGCTGGCCATGGTGGCGGGCGCCTGTAATCCCAGCTACTTTGGAGGCTGAGGCAGGAGAATGGCTTAAGCCCGGGAGGCAAAGGTTACAGTGAGCTGAGATTGTGCCACTGCACTCCAGCCTGGGCAACTGAGTGGGACTCTTGTCTCAAGAAAAAAACAAACAAACAAACAAAAAAAGATTCAGAGGTGGGAGAAAGTCTGTCCAGCTACTATGTCCACTAAAAACAAGACAAGCTTAAAAGGCAGATGAGCTGACTATAAAAAAAAATTTACAGACAGAAATGGGGACAGTCTATCCCCAAACTGTTGTTAAGTTTTCTGGAATACGTAAAAGAAACTCTGGGAGATTCAATGGTTGTTTTTTGAATGCATGCAAGAAAGAAAAGCTCAGAAGCATCTAAACATCCAGAAGAAATATTTTTACCTCCTGGGAAGCCTGAATTGATTGAATTAGAAAGTAAATTCTCTTTTGTCTGAAGTCTAGACTTCTGGAGATACCGTTTTTTTTTTTCCCCGTTTTCCTTTTTCTTTGTTTAAATCAAGAATGCACTTTATCGGCAAAGCTTAATCACAGTTAAATAATATCCTAGTTGAGTCAACCAGACTCCACTCTAGAGCAATTTCTGGAAATAATAGGATAAGCCCATTTTATAAGATTACTGACTGGCAGCTAATGAAGTTCTCACACTTTTTATTTTAGAGGGTAGTTAAAGCAGGTTACCTGCAATAGTTACCTTTTATTGAGGGCTTGCTACGTGTGAGCACCTGCTAAGCATTTAGCAAATATTACACAGTCTTATAAATGTGTATTCCTCAATCTATCCAGTGAGGTCACATAGTTAGTTAGTTGTGGGGTTGGGATTCAAGCCCAGGTTTACCTGACTTCTAAGACTATCTCTTAACCAGCATACATATACCAATCTTTCCAGTCACTGCTTAGGGAAGAGATCTCATCTTCCTTCTAAATATACTCAGATTTGTAGAGTTAAGTGAATTTCTCAAGAATAGAAATCTAGTAAGTTGCAGACTTGTAATAAGACAGACAGTTCAGGCTTCTGACTTCCAGTCCTGAACATTTCCCCCTATGTGATTATCTTATTTATCTCTAAGTCAGGAGAATGTTAATTACTTTAAGACTAAGATGGAAATCCCCCATGAACGTGGAAACTCAAATAGCGGAATGGATGACACTCTGCAGGGTCTCGGCAACTCAGCAATACAGACTTCCCCTCACCAAGGCCATTACTACTGCTGAGCTGCAGAGTGCCAACCTGCCCATAACAGAAGTCAACGCTAAGCCTCCTGAAGTGGCCCTATTCCCCAGGGCGACCAAGTGGCAGGTTTATTACATAGGATCTTTTTCATCAAAGAGGGAAAAGCAACTCTCTTAAAGGAATAGAGAAATATTCCAGATGTAGATTTGCCTTTTCCATCATTCTTCCATTTATAGTTATTTTATTCATGAATATGATATCCTACACAATCCTCTACTGATTATAGAACTAATTATATGGTGAAGGGATGTGGGCTTTCACCACAGAATTCAGAAGTCTCATGCATTTCATCACACAGAAACAGCTCACTCCATAGAACAAGAAATAGAACAGCCTGCTAAAGGCTCAGCCATGATGTCAGCTGGGAGACAATAAATAGCCATCAATATTTAGCACCATTTCTTTCACAGTTAGAATACATGGTTCCTGGAATCAAGGAATCTAGTTGGGAGTAGCCCCTTTTTACACCAAACAAGCCATTTACAAGATTTTTGCTTTTCAGGCCTCAAACATTGAGCTTAGTGACTTTGGAGGCCCAAATATTCAAGGCAGGACTGCTTCCACTTGGGAACCAAGTCATGATTTTATTAAACTGGAAGCCGAGACAGTCAGTCCTAAGACTATCCCTTGGCCAGTTTGGGTTCCTCATGGTTCTGAACCAACAGGTAAGGAAGGCAGTTGCTCTAGTGATTCAGGTAGTTAACCACAGTTATAAAAAGGAAGTTGGATTATTGCTTCATAATTGGAGTCAGGAGGACTATCCTGCTACTTGTCCTCTCGGGAGTCTCAGCTTCATAGTCAATGGAAAACTGTGATAACCCAATAAACAAGACTGCAAGGAATGAAGGGTTGAGTCACCCTTTCAGCAACCTACCAAGCAGGCCCTAGCAGAGTAAGAATGTGCAATGAGTAGAGGAATTAGTAAGATGTGGTCATCAACTGAGGCCTAATGACCAACTAGGGAAGCGGGAACTATAGCAACCGTCTTAGTACTTATTTACCCAACTTGTATCTATTTTCTATATGAACAGAATTATCTTATATAAACATTTTATCATTAAAGACAAAAAAATTAACCATTAACACATCATTGCAAATACTCCATTAAGCTTTCCTCAATTCCTGTGGGAGTGTGCCATATAATTCTTGTCGTGAGTGGATACAGTTCTAGATGAAGAATTATCACCAATATCTTTAAAATCAGTTAATTCTTCAGAAGCTCCAACTGAATTATGCCATTTTGACTTTGTCATTGTTTCTATTGCATTGCAACCTGAGTACAAAATCGAGAGTAAATGGTTTGAGTTTGAAGGCTTCACTATAACTTTTTGAACCCAAGAGAGCATAATCTTTTAGGATTATGCAAAGGCTTGGGGTTTGTTATTTACTGTTGATAATAACGAATCAACATGCTATTAGTAATTATTAATATGCTGTTTCTAGACTTGTCATGTTATATAAGTTTGAAATTTAGTGGTAGCATTCTAAACAGTGAGTTTTGGGTTGCACATACCTTTGAAAATGTGATGAAAACTATGAAACTTCTTCGCAGAAATATGGGCATACACACAAACTGCAAAACACTCAAGTGTTATACAAGTTAAAACCTCAGTTTTAGAGGCTGCTCCACATTCACATGAATGTTTGTCTCCTTCGAGGTTGTGATTATTGATCATGAGAGACTAGCTATGTGAACTCCATAGTCTCAAGAAACTTCATTATCTTTTATTTGTATTTTCAAAGAGAGAGAAAGAGAGAGAGAGAGAGAGAGTGAGCAACAGAGAGAAACTACATTACCTTTAGACCAAAATGAAAACATATTTGGTGATCGAATTGAATGGGTAAATAAAAACAAGTTACATTTCTCTGGTAGTAGGCTGAGTTCAAGTTTTGAAATGTCTGAGTTCCAAAGCAGAAGAAAATAATTATTAAAAACTCATGGCAGGACTAGTATTATAGCCAAGTAATGCACTAATTATAAGAGATTTGAAAGACCTAAAATTTCCAAGGGAAATCAAGTATGGAAATAAGATTAGAAACTGGGAACTCTTCATTTTGTATGAAAATTCCAAATATCTCACAAGTGGCAACGGCTGCGACATAAAAATGCCTAAATTGGTCAGATTACTTTTCTTTCTACTCTAGTATTGTCTCTACTATTAGCTATAATTTTGCCTACGGTTCATTTGTTTATTAAATAACATTATTTGGATACGTTTCTAAGCTACTAGTTTAAATACCAATGTAAGTTAAAATGAATTTGGTGTTTCTGTGGGCTATGATGCCAATAGTGTAGTTGTTTTTATTTGTTTTTTAGACGGAGTCTAGCTCTGTTGACCAGGATGGAGTGCAGTGGCACGATCTCGGCTCACTGCAATCTCCACCTCCCGGGTTCAAGCGATTCGTCTGCCTCAGTCTCCCAAGTAGCTGGGACTATGGGTGTGTGCCACCATGCCTGGGTAATTTTTGTATTTTCAGTAGGACGGGGTTTCACCATATTGGCCAGGCTGTTCTCGAACTCCTGACCTCGTGATCCGTCCGTCTTGGCCTCCCAAAGTGCTGGGATTACAGGCATGAGCCACTGCACCCAGCAATAGTGTAGTTTTAGAGATAACTTTAGACTACGATCTGGAAGTATCATGCTGGAGATTCCAAAAAGTATATTTTTTGTATTTCTTTTAAAGAAACCCCACATAAATGGGCTATTCCATATTCTAACAGGAGGCTATATATATATATAGTGATTTGAAAGTAAATTAAATGTGACATAAACCATTTTAAACTTGATTAGGGTGGTGGCTACATGATTGTATGTGTCTGTCAATACTCATAGAATTGTACACCAAAAAGTGAATTTTCCTGTAGGTATTCTATGGAAAAACACTGGCAGCATATCTTCTTAAGTGCGTTAAATTTTAATAAGCAAGTTGAATGTAAGAAAGGAACTTGAGTGCCAAATATCTGTGAAGTGACATAAAACAAACACACTATGCACATCCAAAAATCTGGATTTACAATGGAAATGTGACAGCTTCTGAAATTATATAGCACTCAATCATTAATTTTCTTTGAGGGTAAGATTTGTACCCTGCTGGGCTTATAATTTTCTCTTTTTGTGCTGTTCATGTGTAAATATTGCCAATTTCATTTGACACAAAAAAGGAAAACAACTTAATTTTGTTTCTAAGTTAATGAATGACAGATACTACCCTCCAGATGAGGTACTGTATTATTAGCTTCCAGGCAGTGATTTGAGGGGAAAAAAACCCAAGCCATTTCCAATGTATTTGTAACAAGGAAACAAATTTATTGATTTTAAAAGACAAGACACCATTTTGTTTTGAAAAACACAAGAAAGCTAGCCTGAGTTCAAGTCTGAAATATTCAGAAAAATCCTACTAATATCTTTAGTATGTTCCAGTCATTTGTTTAAACAACACACTAAAAGTTAATATATATTTTTATAATTATAAAAGTTCCCCAGTTATTGTACAGTACACAATACAAATCGCCCACAAACTATTATTTAGCTCCTGCCAATTTTGAGAGGACATGATATACTAAAAGATTTAGCATTTCTCACAAAAATCACATCAGGAAATACGTATTTACAAAATCAAATACATTATACAAAAAACCATCACATGTTATTCGGTAAAGATGTTTTTAAATAATTAAAAAGTTTATTCAACTGTAGTCCAAAAACTGGAAAAGAACATTACATTATCTCACACATACAATCTCTACAAAAGTTGCTTACCTCATTTACATAATATATTCAGTCGATTGTAAAATAAATGTTCAAATATCTCCTAGTGTTACTATGTTTCTGTGCTTGTGGGACTGAATAATGTAATCGGCCACTTACTAAGTGAAATTTAAATGATGGCACTTAAAAAAAATACAGTTATCTTAAAAAAACACAATGAAAGAAGTTTTACCTAGAAGGTACGAAAGCCCTGAGTGATAGTGAAGTTACTGATTGGTAAGCACTACAATTAACCTAATTAAAAGTTTACCACCTCAGGCACAAATTTCCAAGTTTTTTCAAGGCACTCACTTAAAGTTTCTGTAACCAATGCATTGGTCACCACCATAGGTCCAAATTGATGATGGAAATGAGTAGAGAAAAAAATTTGCTTTGGTACAAAAGATGCTTTTTAAACGAATAAAATTCAATAGCTTCTTTATTGGGTCATTTAAAATTGTTGTTTAGCAGGTTAAAACAAGGCCATCATTTCTTCAAAAACACTAATTTATTGAAGGAAAAATTTACTTGGTTATCAACAGTCAATGGGAGTTTTTATATTTTCTTTCCTCCCCAGAATCAAAATTCTTCTAAAAAAGATTTGTTGTCCTCATTATTGAGCTACATAAACAATTCTTACCAAAGATTTTCATTACTCAGGGCTTCCAATCCCAACATCATAATTTATTTAAAGAAACAAAGGAAAGAGGGGAGAAAAATAAAATAGAACAAAATAAAAGAAGAGACAAAACACATTTTTCTTTTTAAAAAAAGTATTATCAATTATTTCAAATGAAAGGAAAAAAAAAATCCTAGGCAGTCACTTTGTAAGTGGCTTTTACTATTTAAGTAAAATTGGTAAACTAAACTCAGGTCTACTGGCACATAAAATCACTAGCAGCAATGATCAAGGCATGCAAACTGAGAAGCATTTACAGTAAATCATCATGAAGAATTCAAAAGAAGAGAGTTAAATTAAAACCCTTTGAGTATTGCATGTTAACACATGAGTAATTTGCATGGTTTGACTTCCTAAACTGCCTAAAAAGCAACGTTTACGGCATACTTGCACTATGCTATGGATGTCCTTTCACCAGACATCAGAATAGGTTACACTCTTATTTGCGCCCGGCTAGGGCAGCGCAAGCACATCTGCAGACAACACTGCTTTCATGTTCGATCACGCAGGGAACAGAGGGAATCAAGTGCACGAAGCGATTCCCTTGAACAAAATCAGCAATGGTGTAAGCAGACTGACATTTAGAGATATCAGAAGCAGTAGTCATAGCATCTCCTGACAGATGAGCTTAAAATCAAGTGCTTTGCTCTCCATTCTATCTATATATAATTTTTTGACAAAGTATTAAAGTTTTGGAGCATAGATAAAATTATGCCCTGTGTGAAATTCCCAAACAATATTTTATGAGCGATCTAACTCCAAATAGCCTAACTGCCCCCAAAGAGTTCAGATTCTCTTAATCCACTCGAACTCGTTTCTTCCTAAGGCTTCACTTACACTTGTACTTTCTAAAGCTAAATAAATGAGATCTTTTGTTTCATTTTGGGAAAAAAAGAAAAAAAAAAAAGAAACTTAACCCTTTCCTTATACCTTTTAAAGGCAATCTAGGTACCTTCAATGTGCAGAAATCAGTTATGACATAGGTCTATCCAGGCCCATGTATTTGTCCTCCTTTTCTAGAAACTATGGTGTGATGCTAGAAAAGTTGATTTTTTTTTTTTCTGTAAACAGTACACTTACTTAGATGGCAGTGAATATTTGGGAATAAATATATCAAGCCCTCTTGAAGAAAAATTAAGAGTTGTATATAAAATGCAAGTGTTCGGCGTGGAAACACTTTCTCTTCCTACCCCCCCCTTTAAAAAAACAGCATAATTAGACATTTGGATATAGAGTATACTTTACCGGTCTAAGTCTAAATAAATGATCTGAAAGGCTTTTGTCCCCCGTTGTATATCTTACAATGCTCAAAGGGTTAATACAAGGCATTACATCAAAGGGGTTTTCTAATACTAGAACTAAGCACTGAATTAATGCTTCTATTCCAGTTTTTAAAAATCACCAAACTTGCAGAAATACTAGGATTCCATTAATTGATTTGTTCTAACCATATACATGGAGGTTGTTCTGATCTAGCAACAAGCCCAATTTTCAATAGCACTGCATGCCAATCCTCCTCCCCCATGATCTGGTGTGATTCATACAGATCACAAAAGTTCTGATCTCAATTTGTGGATGGTTGTTATTTTCTCACCAAGAATATGTGTGTCAGGGGGATCTAATAAAGGTCAATTTATTGTATATAACCACTGCCTCAAACTGTACACAAAAGTGACTTGCCAAGTTTTTACTTTCTACTTGTGTCCACACAGGGAGGACCAACATCACAGTGACACACATTTTTTTTTTTTCTTTTACACTAATGTTTCAAGCACAGCATTATTTTAGACATTTCAAATATATCATCTGAGGAATTTTTAAAAATTTGAAAATGCATTTAGCACTTTTAGACAGTGCATTCATATAAAAAGATTCATGATTACGGCACTAAAACCGTATTCATTCCTGAATGACTTTTACAGCATCTACAAGAACGTATTCATTTTTACTTGTTTACTACAAATCAAAGGCAGTCAATGCTGCACACTACTAATTTTAGGTATGCAGTGTTAAAACCATTTTCTAAATTTTACTTTGTTTTAAAGTACACCATCTAAAGAGAGGTGCATAAACCGTGCTATACAGTACGAGAAAAATCACACAAAGGAAAGCAGATTTCTGAAAAGGCAGTAAGACTTATACAGTCAGTCCAAACACAGTTTGGATGAAAATCCTGAATAAGTGACTAGCAACTTGATAGCCAAAGAAAAAATTGAAAATTGGGCCCTGTCTTCCAAGGAGCTGGTTCATCCATTCCACCCTATTGTTCATTGGTTTCATGAATGCAAATCTTCTGAGTATGATTTTCAAAGTATATGTCAAGATCAAACTATACCCATGATACTCAATCCTATCATATGAAAATATCTTTTCTGAAACTTAAAAACAGTCAACATACCTTCCTTACATGCTTCCTCACTGAAAGTGTAGCACTTGGTTTATGTAGGTATATTTCATGACTAGTGATTGGTTATAATTGCAAGAAATACAAAGAAGTCTTAAAATGTGTACTTGTGTCATTTGTGAATAAATCTGTTAAGAGTGTTAGTGTCTAATACTATTTAGAAAACCCAGTTTCAATGAATGAAAAAAGGGAAAAATGGAAATAGATGCAATAAATGTGATTGCTCAATTTGCTCAAATGTATAAATTATGTTTTTATTTTCTCAAATATTTCACAATTCAAATTTGAAATTGATGAAAATGTTGGTGTGTATGTGTGTGCATGTTTTACTGTGAACTACAAATAACCAGAAGTAGCATAAACCATAGGTCTTCTTTTTATGTTTTGATCCAAACTACTTACATTAGTCACAAAGAATATTCCTAAATATCCATAAAGGAGATCAGAATATTTTTATTGAGTCTAGTTCAAATGTAATCATGCTTATTAGTTCTTAATCTGTCCTAATTTAGAACAAACCATGAACAATTGGAAGAAATGTTGAATCCTGGAGCATCCCCGATCCCTAAGCCTCATCAATCTAAATTTGCCCATTATTATCAGATTCCTGCAATGATACAAATATATCCAACATTAAATTAAAGGAAACAATGATAATAAATACATTTAAAGTCATCCAATAAACAAAATGCAACCAATAAATACATTTGGTCCAATACAGATATGGTATCATTCAAAGGATGGTGGGTAGAGACAGGAAACTGAAAAAATTCAGAAAGAAGAGCCAAAATGAAGAGTTTTTTTTCAATTTTTGATTTTAATTTTACCTGTAAACACTTCCTATGCACAATGAAGTAGATACATGATCTTTTGCAGCTTACCATGTTTTGTTTGCCTTTTGTGTGTGTGTTTTGGTACAAATCCATTGTCTTTTTGGGAGGAAAAAGGGGGACAGTAATTTAAATGATATTTAGATGAAAGTGATGCTACCATGCTAGTGAAGACTTTCAAATATATGAGTTGTAAAATAAAAAATTTGGATCAGTTTTTAAAATTATATCTAAAATATTTAAATTTTACTTAAGAAATGTCGTTGATGTTATTTGAGTAGTCTGAGGCAATCAAGCAACAGCAGCTTAAATACACTGTGTATTACCTGATAAGCCATTTGGTATTTCTAACTTTACAGACTGGCTCACCTCTTCTTTCCAACCCCCCACCCCCCTTACCCCAATACCACCGGAAAGATAAACATCTTGGTTTTAATATAGGCCTCATTTGATAATCTGTCAATCATTTTGTGCTTTCCTTTTTTTTGGCTTTATTATCTATTTATTTTTGCTGATTAGTTTTTTACAACTATTTAAATGAACAGATGTGCCTTTTTTGTGTTTTAATCATTAAATAATTTGAGTGCTTAAAAGAACCTTGGCTTTTCATGCAAATTAAAATGGGGCTGGGTATAACTCTCTAGGATCTCACCTTCTGACTTTGTAGCAGACTCCTGCCCCATGGGCACTCATGTGTGCATGTGGACACACCAGCACCTAGACACACAGACAAACATTTAGACTGAAAAGATGCACTTCGATAAGTACCTGCTTACTTTGTTAACTTTCTAAAATTGTAACTAAATAAGAATGGTCTAAAACATATATGATTTTATGTAACAAGTTGGTATTAAAACTAGCCTGCTATTCCACACCCTTAAGCAATCTGATTTGTAATCAAGTAATATTCAGCTCTAAGAATAAAAAATAGATCCACGGTCACTCAAAGAGGGAAACTGATTTTTGTCTTTTTGTTTTGCTTTGTTTTCCCTAAATTTCCTTTGAAGAACATGTCACCTGTCCTTACTTCGGGAATCCGAAAATGACAGGCACACTTTGTCAAATGGATTGAAGAGTTAGTCACATGAACAAAATAAACCTTACTAAACCTTAGCTTCAGTTCTGTTTTAAGGCACCATGTAATAGCCGAGGTACGATGATCCCTGATGTACATTCTTCAATGGCAATGGTCCATCCAGCCACCTATCCAAATCCTACAGAATTGGGGATAAGTAACAGTGAGGTGTGCCAGTTACACTGCCTTCAGGTTCTGTTTACAATTTAAATCCACATACTTTAGAAACCAGGAAATAGTTTTGAAGGAAATAACATTATGTAGGTTGCTACATTCCGTGCATTCTATAAATTCTCGTTTATAATAGCAGCATATTGAACTACTATTAGGAAAAAGACCTGGAATAAAAGAAAGTCATCCAAATGGAATGGTTTCCTGTATGTCCAGCTCAGCATAAGTAGCATGTACACTTAAAAAAAAAAGTCAAGTCATTTTTTCCTGCTTCAGTATCTAACTATAACAGCCCCCACTTAACAGCAGAATGCATCTGTGCAGTGGTCCCAAATACAGAATCAGTAGTCTTTAAACAGAGGAACTGGTATGCAAATAATAGTTAAAATTCAATGTTTAACGGAAGCTTGCATTGTTAACATGGTTTAATAATTATGTACACAAACTATGTACCTATTAGCATAATCTCTTGCAATTCTGTCATTTACTCTGAACTGATAAATGCACAGCTCAATTTTTCCTCAGAGAAAAATAGATGACCTTCCAAACCCTCTAGCACTATAATAAAAATGCTCTGTATTCTCTCTCCGTACTCAAAATGTTATCAAAATAGTGTCTTATGGTTCTGTCCAATGAAAAGCACCTTTCAAAAGCAAATTTGATGCATCTGCTGCCAAATGGGCATGCCTCCAGTGTCAATCAAAACAATCATTTCTTTTGATATTTCACAGAAGTGCATCTAATTTAAAAACTTACACATGAAATCATACACCAAGACTAACAATCAACAAGAAAATATTTTAAGCTACAAAAAAATGTAAATTACTTTTTAATTATAAGAAAACAAAACATTGACATTAAGTGTTGTAAAAATCCTTCTTGACACCTGAAACTAAGGGAAAAAATTCATTATTAAGAGGCAAATAATTTGTTTACGTTAAAAAAAAAATCTGGCAAAATACATACACCCATTCCATTTCACAACTCCAAAAAGTTAATGTTCAGCACAGATAGAATTTGACAACAGTCGACCTTCAGGCTTATTAAATTTTCAACTTAAGCCCAATATCAACAGGGTTAATGTAAGCTGGAGAAATACGCTTTAATATTCTTTAGACTGCAGTGTAGGTATTTCCTGTAGCGCTGCACTGTCTGATAGTCTGAGTACTTGTGACAATGTGCTCGCTGTGAATTGGATTCAGGAGGCTTGGTTGCACGCCAGTCTCGAGAACAGGCTGCATGCAGCCCACTGGAAATGCCTGGCTCAGCTCTGTTTTCTCTCTTTTGGCTTGAGGCTCTGAAGAGTCATCCAGTTCTTCATCCATTTCACTTTCCACTTCACTGCCTTCATCTGCACAAATAAAACCAAGACTATTATCAGAAAACAAATTAGAAAATAGCAATCAACACGTGCTTTAGAAACACTTTAATATAGTACATTAAGAAAGCAACATCTTAGCTCTTCTCAGGAAACAAAGCTTATAGGTTTTCTTTTCATCGGAATGTATTCATATCAATGCTGTATTGATGCATCTATAATTCTTTCAAACATAGCGAGATTAATTTACTTTTGGCAATTTGTGATTGATACTTCATTAACTTTTTTAAAAAAGCCTTTCGAATTTCCATAAGTGTCTATATTAAATAATGGCATAATTTGTGTCATAATAAAGTAGTCACTTTGGTATGTTATGCTGACTTTTGAGGAATGTACTGAGCTGAAAACGCAAATACAAAAAAAGTTTTGTTTCCTCCAAAAATCTACACTAAATACACATTTTATCTGTGCTAGCATTAATGTGAGTCAGAACTATGTTGATTCTTAATATTACTATTCCATGTATAAACAGAGGCTGCTGTAAGACTTTTTGGCATTCATCAATGTTATAGATGGTCACAGTATTAAATAAACCCTTAATTTTTATTATAAAAATTATTAAGGCTGAGGCAGTAGTATCAGATTAAAAATGTGCAATGGATTTCCATTCTTGGCAGCTGATACTGTTAATAGCTGGTATTCATTTCTGGAAATCAAATGCATTATATAATCACGGTTACCCCCAAATTGTAATACATTTTATATTAACTAAGGCATCATTATAATAGAATGCCATTTAATTTTTTTCCAGTATGCACTGTTAAAATTCAAAAGTACATTAGAGACAGAAAATGCACATATACAGCTTTACTATTGGGTGACAGTCTCCTCCGAATACCTCTTCATGAGGGATAATTACAGTGGCTTGTATAAACAAAGTCAGGTCTCCATTCTCTACAGTTCTATGGCATATCACATACAATGAATGTGCAACAAGTATCTCTTTAGTCAGATTAAGTTGGATTCTTTGCTAGCAGTAAAATTGTAGCTTTACCACTTGGCAGACACCCACAGCAAAAATCTCTGCTAATGCAGCTGTCTCTATAAACAAGGCCCCTTGACTTTTCTTATTTCATTATGATTGGGGTAAAGCTGGTTCTAGAAAAAAGCAATGAGAGGTAAAAGTGCTTCCATATATGGTTGTACAGTGTACAGCCACCAGGAGCAAGGTCTGAGAAATGGTAATTTGTGATTAAATAGGTGGAGATTAATATGCATTACCTAGAAATGTGTGTCATGCATTAGTGACCAATAAAACAAAGAAGTGCTCTTAGATGAGGCAAAAGATATCTTGGCCCACCTACTTTATCAAGTTACCTTTTTGCCTCTGGAAAATGAACTTAATGATAATATTTGAGTGTGTCAGAACAAGTATATTCAAAGTGTTGAAGGGCTACAGGGAGAGGGATACCTTTTGTAGACATTTGCTTCATCAAGAGGGTATACTTGAAACATGTTTGCATGAAATGTTTCGGTTTTTCATGTTTTTATACATAGAACAAAAATGTCTGTAAGGATCTTAACACAAACTCTTCATGGTGGTAGTCTCTTAGGGTTGTGATAATAAAGCTTCACTTTCTATAGTTTCTAATTCTCTGTATTATTTGAAATTTTTATATGGAGCAAATATCCCTTTTATTATCAGAACAAGAATTCTCATTTTGTGGGAGAAGCCCTCAAAAACTCCTAGGATTTCACATTAAATCTTTAGGCCCTGAGTATGCCCATCGGGCTCTATCTCAAGAGCCATCAAGAGGTCTGGGGGTAAATGGGACCAGCGTGGCCACCTCCAGCAGGTGAGGACAAGTCATACTGCTTCTCTGCTCCCTGTCCACAGACTTCCCCGTGCCTAAGAAATTAGTGTCAAAATAATAAAAAAGGGAGCACTGAAAAGACAAAAACTCATTTTCAGGCAGGGAGGGCAGTGGAGACAAAGTGAGGAAAGTCCTTCTATCTATTTTGTTGTGGATGGAAAGGGTAGTGAGATAACAGACTGGACAAACTTAAGTGTTCCAGGTAGGTTTTGCTTACGTCTATCTCTGGGTGACAGGTTTCCTTTGGAAAATCTACAAAGCAACTTATAAAAGCAAGCCCGTTCTCCAGGTCCTAAGGACAAAGGGATGTAATTCTGTAGACATTTTATGCTTCTATAAAAACTTGAAGACATTTCCTAGGAATCTACGTCAGGTTATGGAAATTTGGTGCATAAAAACTAAAATTAGGTGCTACAGGAGTTTACAGAAGATTGTCGTTCAGCACTGTGTGAAGAAGCCTGGCTGGAATGCAGTCTCTGACTGAGTAGTAAATCTCTACTGCCCTTCTGGACACCCTGGGATGAAACCCCTAAATTTGGGTTATGAGGCTTCGGTGTACATCATCAGTGTTGCTTTATAATGGACATGGGTATCAGTTACTACATTTCTTGCTCTAAAATTACTAATTAATATCATCATTGACTTATTTTTCTGAGGGTTATTTGGTTAATCCTATAGAGTATATATTTGTAGTAACAAATTTTTTGGCTATAATTTTCTAATTTCCCTGCATTGCTACTGTACTGAGTACCTTAATATAGCACGCTATGGAGAACAGCGCTGAACCTCTTTACGGACTCCCCACGTACTTCCTTTCACCTCATTTTCCCCAGTGACTCTGGCCTGGAAGGGCTAAGTGCATAGTTCTCCCCAGTTTCTGTGCATTTTGTACCTGTCTCCAATAGTCAATAACCATAAAAATTCTTTAAAACCTCAAGATACCTCCCTCCCTCCACCACCTTTTAAAAGAAAGAGCTCTGTTTCCTGCAGTGTTTAACAGAAAATTTACTTGTTTTTAAAAATTGCACTGGTATTTTTATCAGTATTGTTTTGCTTGTGCTCTGCTTATAAAGGTGGGTAAGATTTGTGTGCTCTATCCCCATTCTATCTCCCCCTAAGTCCACCTTGCTTTTTTTATTGTGTGATTTTGTTGATCCTGAGGTTCTTCAGAAATATATATCATGTTATCATATTATACTGTATATTAGAGTGGCAATGCTATTAAAATTTCAGAAGTATATATGTTACCTTCTTCATCTATACCATTACTAATCTTGCATTTACAGTAAACCTCACTGCTATCTCTGAGTTCTTTTTCTACACAAAAGTATGAATTGGTGAGGTAGGTGAGCCGAGGAATCTTTTTTCTTGCCTGGTGGGCCTTGAATAAAAATGTCTCATCCAATTTTATCACTTATCTCCAGGACTCTAGCCATGGTCAGAAATAATTTCTTGTTACTTGTAATGAACTTCAGGCAAAAAGTGTAAAGAACTTTATAACTACATTTAAATTCAATTATCTGCAATTAAAATACCTCATATGTAGAAGGCATAGCGATGGGGAAAAATGGAGAAATAATGAAGACAGGAGTTTCACATTTATCTAGGATTTGTATGCCACTTCTGCAAAATCAGAGTATTGTAAACATACACTGTATTTTCCTCTATGAGAATTTGTTAGTGAAAAAAAGTTCTTAAAATGTACATTATTTTCAATTCTTACCTTTATCCAGATTTCCAGGAGACACGGCATTTAAATCACCAAACTGCAAAACAATAGTCATTTGTGCAATAGTTAATATGGGGCAGAATAATATCAGTCTGTGGTAAAAACACCAATCTATGACTCTTTAAAACTGCAAACTAGTGGCCATTTTGATCTCTAATTACATGGGTCACATAATTTTCCAATCAAACTTGTCAAATTTGAACAGTTCAAATTATGTCACAATTTAGCTGTCTTAGCCGCTTTGCAGAAGGATAACAATTTTCTCTGCTTTCCATGCTCCATTTTACCTTTTATTATTTCAACTCAGCAATGAAGAAACAGGGGCCTGGATGACTTGGATGAAGACTGATGTGGCAAAATGAATTTGGAAAAGCCCCAATCAAGCAAGACACATCAGCTCCACCCCCCATGCTTGGCTGATGAGTCCACCTGGAAGTCTCTACATTAGAGAAACAATATCCAGCAGTTTGGCTGAACTCTATTTTTAAAGTTTTTATTAATAAACATAAAAATATAATAGAAACTCCAAAATTGAGGGTTATTTGTTTTTATAAAATCTTTAATTTGAGACTTCTCTCTTAGATAATAGGGTCTCACTTTGAAAAGAAAGGCATTTGATCATTACTAATGTCAACAAAAAAGAGCTTGAAACAATATAGAACAATTAATAGCCTTCGGCTTAGCTATTATTTTCTAACTTAGTTCAACAGTTTGATAATTTTACAATGAGAAAACATATTTTGAGAATCTCAGAGTGAATAAAGATGGATACACTGAAATAAAAATTGAATAGAGTAACAAAGCTAATCAAAAAAAGGTTAAGAGAAACTGCAAAGCATCTACTTTTAAAACAGTAAACATTACTTTTTTAAGGTAATAAGTCATTATTAGAAATCCAGATTTCTCAACAGGCTTAGAAAGGATGAGGCAGAAATTCTACTTACATTCGGAAGTTTGATTATAAAGAGTTCCATGATAGGAGTATTTTTTTCATCTACAAGGTTTGTCTATAAAGTAATAAAACTGATCTTATTTTGCAAACATACACATATTTTTTTCCCTACCTAGACAAGTACTGTTCTTCACAGTAGCTACCTTGGGAGCTTATACATTTATTCCAAGGTCCAAAGTTCTGGAATTCCTCTTTGACAATTTTAAGAGTTAGTTTATGCATCATTAGGAAAGCCCATCTTGTTATTTTACATCCAACTATGCCTCCAAGCAACACTCCAGATTTTATTTACTATACTTGTTCCTGGGATGATTTGACTACTCAACAAAATTCAATTCACCTCTGCCACAATTCAGGTTATTTAAAATAATGTCATTTTACCTTTACTTCTTAGCATTTCAGAGGCATTCCACAACATTTTTAAGCCATAGCAGCATTACTGGAACAAATGTGTAGCCTTCCTAGGTGACTGCTTTGAAGGAGACAGGGGCCTCCTAGACATGTAATTATTAGTATATTTATTTGAAAGTCTGCCCCACTGCTTTAGAGTTATTTTTTAGAGTTATTAAAAGTAATGGCAGAAACCGCTATTACTTTTATACCAACCTAATACATTCCACGGGGCAACAAATATAAATCATAAATACTGAAATTTTGAAGTTGTTCCTGATCACATAGGTCAGGTCTTTGTATAAGTCTAAATAAAAATCCAGTGTAAATTATGTGGGTTTTCTTGAATTACAGAATATAATCTAAACAACAAAAACCCAAAGGGATTCTTCATCAATTTTTGGTATTATTTAAGTATTTTAGAACTATAAACAGAGAATGTTCAAAACTGAAGGATCATTTACAAGTTATTACTAACTGACATAACACAAAAAGATATAGATTTAAGGGAATACTTAACACTTAAGTTCTTGAAACGAGTTGGCAGTGATGATTCTAAACACAACTTTATACTGATAAAAAGTGAGTATTCTATTTGCTGTTGAAAAGTCTCTGAAAGTTGTTTGTAGCTAAGTTATTGTTGCTATTGCTGATCAATAATATCACACAGAGTGCCTAAAACCAAACTCTGGATATATTTGAAAATCCTCTTCAAAAGAAACATTGCATTTAGTTGCTACTTAACTCTGAAAACATGACAACTTCCTTAATACAAAGATTTTCCCCTTAGACGTTTCTACTTAATATGAATAAGACATTTGATAATTCAAGAGGCTGAAAACAGAAACCAAAACAGCTGAAATTTCAGTGATGGTTATTATCATTAACAAAAATCCATTTACATACTAAATTCCAAGGCTTGTCATTATGCACTATGTTGGACAATGTACAAAGAATCTCAGAGACACTGTCAATGCCTCTAGGTGTTTCTGGGATCAACGACAAAGTTTTACATGTATGACAAACAGAGAAAGTAGACTACGATTTTTTTAAATCCTCTGAAGAAGAGATCAGATTTTACTATCCTACAGAGCTGAAGGTGAAGGCTTTTATATGCATTTTACATGTGAGGGGAAAATAGATGTAAAATTATAGAGGAAAAAACACTTTAACCCTGTAGATAGACTGCATGAGATCAGCAAAATCAGTTCACTTATTCATTAAAAGCCGATAAATACTTATTGAGGATTTACTATGTGCCAGGCACTATGCCAGCCAATTCTAGTCAGATCAATTTCGAAATACTCCTGTCTTCAGGGGGTAAGTAGTAGAAATTCCCTATATTCTGAAGGGTAGGTAGGTTAGCAGAAAAATGAGCAGCTTAGGAAACCTTAGGGAAGGTTTTAGAAGTATAGGGTTCAAGTCTTAGAAATGGAAACAAATTTCATGGGTTTATGGCATGCAGCAGGTCAAGCAGCAGGAAGGAAGGGTATGAACAGTGGCAGGGAAGATTGAGAGCAGGCAGAAGGAAAACAGTACCATAGATAGGGGCCAGATGACAAGATGAGGCCAGTACAAATCAAAAACAGAAGAGAGGCCAGGCATGGTGGCTCACACCTGTAATCCCAGCACTTTGGGAGGCTGAGGCAGGTGGATCACCTAAGGTTGAGAGTTCGAGATCAGCCTGACCAACATGGTGAAACCCTATCTCCACTAAAAATACAAAAATTAGCTGGGCATGGTGGTGGAGGCAGAAGAATCGCCTGAACCTGGGAGGCAAAGGTTGCAGTGAGCTGCGATCATGCCACTGCACTCCAGCCTGGCAACAGGAGCGAAAGTCTGTCTCAAAAACAAGCAAGCAAGCAAGCAAGCAAGCAAACAAACAAACAAAAAACAGAAGAGGAGAAAGTAGTAAAAGATTTAGATTTAAAAAAAAAAAGGAGCTCACAAGAAAGTATAGTGATTATTACGAAGTTACAGCATCACAAATTGGGAAAACTTACTGTTTCGTAATTTTTCCTCTTGCACAAAGGATTAGAGGGGACTACTCTTCACTGACGTGACATCTTACCACTTACAAGGTGTGTTTGCAGTTCAGTAAACGGTAGGTTTTCTCTCAAACAGACAGCGAGTGTCACACTGTCAATATCGCTTCCCTGAAGAGGCTTTTCCTGGCAGCCCTATTTTGAGTATCGCTGTCCCTGTCACTCTCAGTTACCGCATCATGCTCACTTCCCGCAAAGCACCCACCACAACCTGCAAAACTTATTTTGTTTGTTTCCTCACCTAATATATGTCTTCCCAACCAAAATGTCACTGCCATAGGTAAGAAAGTTCCTTTGTTCTCTTCATAAATGTATCCCAGAACCTGGTATAGTGCCTGATACACATTAAAGGCCGAATAAATACTTACCAGATGAATAAATTTACTTCCTCATTTCAGCCTCACCAAAACAACTTAGGGATCTGGCAAGTTAAGTGCTTAGATTTCATGTTACAGCTATTGAAAACAATGAGTTTATTTGTCTAACGTCAAGTAGTAAATATGGTGCTGTTAGATTTGAGACCAGATATTCTCCTTGGTTTAGAATCAGAGAGAGAGAGAAAAAAAAGAGAGAAATGGGATGGGATGTGGGGTGAGAGAGAGAGGGGAGGGAGGGGAAGGGGAAAGAGAGAGAGAGACACCCACACATGGAGGAAGAAATATAAATTAAGGGATTTTAAAAGTGCTCTGGAGTTAGAAAGCATACGGCCTTCAATGTATGAATTCACATTCCATCAGTCAGAGAGATAAATAGGAAACGTTCGAAGAGAAACTAGAACAGACGGTACAGAAAGCATGTCTATTGTTGAGAGAGGAAACACTTCCTATCCTATAGACTATTTCCTCCAGGTCCTGACTAGGGTCAAAATAATGAACACTTCACTGGACAACAGCGGGCTGGGAAATGCATGCTTGAGGTAGACAGTGAGAGTCTGTTAGCACATACATTCATGTAAGACCAGCAATGTCCATGAAGTGTAAGTGGACAACAGTTTAGCACAGTCAGGGCAACAATGGGCAGGATCCCTGAGAGACCCTGGGTTGTAGCCAGGCAGCTGGGTTGTTTATTACAGGATTTTGAGGCCTAGTACTTGTCCCTGAGCATGGTCACCATGAGAGGAACCTGGCTCAGCATGGGAGAATGCAGCCCACAGGTGCATTGAAGAGACTGTTGCACATTCAGTTCAGCAACAGCTGACTTTTCATAGTGAGGCAGGCAAGCCTTGTTCTGTAATGTTTGGGCACTGAAACAATGCAGAGGAAGTCAGGGTGCCTAGAGAGCAAACAGGTGGGGATCCATGCGGGGGGCAAGAAACATACTGGAACAGAAGTAGGGCAGAAGGAAAGAGCTCAGGGGATTGGGATGAAGACCTCACCCTTAGGGACACCTTCACTGCTGGAAGAGCTTACCCCACCCTGAGAAAGAATTAGTGAGCAATCATAATCACATTTATGTTATACGTATCATTAATTCTTTGTAAGCACAGCCATTGCTTGCTAATTGTTTAAGCAAATCTGTAACAAGTTCCCCAATAGTGTTAATTTGGATCTTTCCAAAGAACCAAGTTAAAGTACTTCACATAGTGCCTGGCACATAGGAAGCACTTAACAAATGACCACCATTATCAATATTGTTATTATTTATAAGTAT